AGGGTCACTATGAGTCACATGTGACTCGATGGCACATAACAACAACAACAAACAACAGATGGATAACATGTGTTTGGAATTAATGAGAACATTGAAGGATAGATTCTATTACATTATGTTGTTGTCTTTTGCCATTTTGTTGAAAGCAACTCATAGCTGAACCTCCTGTGGATTTTCAGAGCAGGATATAGCATGGGAGGATGAAATTGCCACTTTTGTGGGTCATAAATGGTCAAATATCAATAATATTTGTCATTTGGATCCAGGCTCAATTCAACCTACTAGAGCCAGAGAAAAGTGTTCAAGAATAGTATTCCAGCTAGGGAAGCTGAGGGCCGGGGAGTGGGAGTGGGGCCTGCCAAGGTCACGGTGCCTCTGGCACTGGGTCCTCAGTGGTTGGTCATCTGTTCCAGAACATGTCAAGTGACAGACGAGTGATTGCAGAAAGCTAGTCCACGCCTCAACTCAGAGCTAGAACCAGAGGACGGGGGGTGCCAAGCAGGCTTTTGTCGCCTGACTCACAGGCTCCCACTGTCCAGCAGGTGTGGCTGAGGGTCCCTGCGGGGCTGTAAGGAGGGACAAGGTGAGCCAGGACCAGGGCAGGGGCTCAGTCAGACACACACCTTCTCCACACCACCAGCTGCCACGATGTGATTGTCCTTCACCATCACCAGCCCCCCCAGATCGTAGCGGTGGGAGGCTGCCCCGCCCACAAGCATCCCGTACTTCTCCACCAGCCGGAAGCCGGGTGTGGTCTTTCTTGTTCCCGCCACCTGGCCCGTCCAGCTGGTGCCCCGGGCCACCTCCACAGCTGAGGCTGCAGCACTGGCCACCCCGCTGCATCGAGCCAGCATGTTCAGGGCGACTCGTTCCCCCAGCAGCAGGCAGTGGGCAGGGCCCCGGACCTCGGCCACCTTGGCCACGGGCACCAGCTTCGACCCCTCGGGGAGGAACCAGGAGACCTGGCAGTTAAGCTGTGCGAAGATGGCATCGAAGAAAGGCTTCCCAGCCAGGACCCCCGGAGACTTGGCCCATAATGCAGCCTGGGAGGGGGCCGCTCCAGTCACCAAGGCTGAGTGGTTGTGGCCTGGGCAGTCCTCTTGGAGCCAGGCAGCTGCCAGAGCTGCCAGGGTGCCAGGGGGCAGCAGGAGGGCCGGGTCTGGAGAGAGGAAAAGAACAGTAGTTACATAACAGCCTCACTTGTAGCAGGGAGCTGGCTACAAAATATTCAGCAACCAAGAGGTGTTGTGTCCATCTGTGGTCAACTGGAAATTTTGCTTCAAACAATAAAGAAGGGGGGGAAAATCAGCAACCAATTAAACTGGGCACTAATCAATCCGAGTGAAGACCTGGACTCCCAGGGAAGGGACAGGGGAGCGGGGGTGGGGACTGGCGCGTGGGACCAGGGTGCCAGATGGGAGAAATAGAAATCCACGACACTTGGTTAAATTTAAATTTCTGATAAATGACAATCCATTTTTAGCATAAACATGTCCTAGGCAATATTTAGTACGTACTTATCCTAAAAACGTATCTATTGTTTGCCTAAAACTTAAGTTTAACTGGTGCCCCATATTTCATCTGGCAAGCTCAGTGCTGGGAGGCCAGTCACCGCAGGGAAGAGACAATGAAGCCTGGAGAGGGGCAGAGCCAGATGCAGCCACCTGCCTCAGGTCTAGCAAATTCTCTGCCTGTGACAGGGCACAGACGTACTGTTTCTCCCTCACTCAATTTAGTAGAAAATATTTACACTTTCCTTCTCTGACAGGTCTCTATATTTCAGTTTCTGGCTTTCATAGGTTTTACTGCATCTCAGTATTTTCACAGCCATACAGTCAGCCTGGATGCCCAACCTTGATGTCACCGGCAGCTTTTGCATTCTGCCTACCCACCCACTGCCCCTCAGTCAATCCCAACTCTTAGAGATCCACCATGGGGTTCCAGAGGCTGCAGATCTTTACAGGAGGAGACTGCCCATCTTTCTCCTTCAGAGTAGTTGGTGGATTCGAACCATTGACCTTTTGGTTGGCAGTGTAATATGTAACGCACACTACTCCACCAGCACTGCTCATAGTCTGCTGAGGGTTAGTTATTTGCAAGCTGAATCCCACCTGAATGGGAGATTGTGTCGGGGAGGATGGAGGAACGCTGCTTCATCCTAGTCTTCACTATAACACCAAGTATTTTAACGTTGAAAGTTGAATTTTTCACAGATGTGGCGATGGAGGACCAGAGAGGGAAGGCAGATGTACCAAGGTCACACAGCAAATTAATGCCAGGGTCAGATGCAACCAGGTCATGGCTGTCTGTCTTTGCTCTACCTGGGAGATGTCTTAACTACTAAAGAGACTAGCGAACTGCCTCTTTGGGGGGGCACCACAAGAAGGAAAGAACACTGGAAAATTGAGTTTGAGGCCCTGCTGTATGAGGCACAGCTTCAGGAGAACGAATGAATGATTTGTCTGTAAAATGAGGGTTGTGGCCATGGTGGCCCGGAGTGCAGTACTAATGAACTCTTCTTTACTTGGGGATGAAATCATCGTGAAAGCAGGCCTTAGACTTTATACAACATTGCCATCTATCGGTCAGGACGAGACCTCCAGCTTCACTGGTACACAGGGCACCTGCCACAGTGACTTCCCTTGAGAACAGGGGTGCAATGGAGCCAAAGAGATGGCACAGGAGGAGGGCTTTGTTTGTTTGCTTGTTTTCTACTAGCTTCATTTGGAGGATGAATATACCTCCAAGGTGAAGGTGAGGCTGGGCATTCCAGCTTGCTGGAAGCCGACCCTCTTGTCTAACTTTTCTTCACCCATCCACTTTCTTCTCCTCCTGAGCCACAGCCCCCCAGGGATTGTACCTGGCCCTCCCTGCCGAATTATCTCTCACAGTTTCCCCAAGGGGTTTCCCCTCCTCTAAGAGAGGTTATTACCTGGAGAGGGACATCATGCTTGGGAAGGTGGAGGAAGAGCAAGAGAGAAGACCCTCAGCCAGGTGGGTTGTCACAGTTCCTGCAGCAATGGGCTGGAGCGTGTCAGAGATTGTGAGGACGGCACAGGATAGGACAGGGTTCAGACCTGTTGTTCACAGGGTCACTATTAGGGTCACTATGAGTCATACTTGACTCGATGGCACCTAACAACATCATTCCATGGCAGCTGTGACCACGTTGGGTGTTGGGACCAAAAGACAGTAAAAGGGATACAGATGTGGCCTTGACTCCAGTGAACCCTGGTCGCGATGAGAGCTTGGAATGCAGATGGAGGCCCTTCAGTCCATTCAAATGAGCTGTTGTTGCAGTTCCAGCTGATTTGGCCATCTCTCCTCCAACCCTGTGCACAACAGGCTTGGACGGCTCCGATCCAGCGCTCTCATTGGCTGCTTTTTGGAAGACCATTACCAGGCTTATTTATCTTTCTAAATTAGGTGCTGTGATCTTTTGGAAAAAAACAACAACAAATTTGAATCCTTCAACTAGTAAGTGGAGAAGCAAACAGGTGCACCTATACAACAACGGGATTCTACTCAGCAGTAGAAGTACTGATACAATGTGTGAAGTAAAAGAACCCAAACTCTGGTTAAGAGACACTCAAAACAGGGAGCAAGAATTTGCACTGCAATCGCAGAGGTTGTTGTTGTTATGTGCCGTCGAGTCGTTTCCGACTCATAGCGACCCTATGCACAACAGCCCTAAGCCCTGCTCTATCCTGCGCCAACCGCACCGCCTCTGACACACCCATCCCGATTACCCCAGTCACCGAATCAATCCATCTCAAGGAGGGTCTTCCCCTCCTGCGTTGTCCCTCAACCCTCCCAAGCATGATGTCCCTCTCCAAGGACCCATCCGTCCCTCCTGGCAACATGTCCAAAGTATGTCAGACGAAGCCCCAGAATTCAAATCCACCAGATGCTCAGCTGGAGAAGGAGAGGAAATCTCCTCCTGTACCTGTCAGATCCAATTTGACAACACACACACACACACACACACACACACACACACACACACACTAATTAAAATATTTAAGAAAAAACACCTCAAAACATAACTGGAGAGGAGCCACCCCCTCAAAGCAGAGTCACCTTCAACGATGAGGATGGATTTGCCGATAGACCTTTATTTGCCTGTACGTGCAACTCAAAATGAGGAGAAACAGCTGCAAGCATCCATCAATAGTCAGAATCTAGAATATACAAAGCATGAATCTAGGAAAACCACAAGTTGTAAAAAAAGAAAGCAAACACATCAAGATTGGTGTCGTAGGTAACAGTGAGCTGAGATGGACCGTTGATTCTGCAGCTATATTTCGAGGTTCCAAGCTGAGCACCTCATTTCCCTGCACTATTGTTAGGTCCTGCCAAGTCGACTGTGACTCACAGCAACGCCCTGAGCCCCAGCTCTGAAGCTGCTCGGTCCTGCACCATCCCCAAGCTCTCCGTCACGGTCGATTTCACTGTTGCAGTCACTGTCCCAATCCACTTCATTGAGGTCTTCTTCTCTTTTGCTGACCTTTCCCAGCATCACGTCTTTTTCCAAGGACTGACCGGTCCTGACAACATGCCCAGAGCATGTGAGATGAAGTGTCACCGTCCTTGTCTCTGAAGAGCACGCTGGTTGCATTTCCTCTAACACAGATGTGCTTGTTCTCTTGGCTTTCCACGGCAGAGTCAACATTCGTATCCAGCACTACAAAAGATAACGCCCCACTGCTTCCCATCCGGTTTTCAATGGCCAACGATTGCAGAAGCGGATCCCCAGTCCTGCTTCCTAGCCTGTCTTAGCCTGGAAGCTCTGCTGGAGCCAGTCCTGCTGGTATTTGCAATACTGGTGGGATAGCTTCGAGCATCACAGCAACACGCAAGCCACCAACTGACAGATGAGAAGTGGCTTTAGCTAAATAGTTCAGTTCTTTTCCACTCCGCTGTCACCTCCCACCATTTCTCCCATAAATTCTGCTCTGAGCCTCCTGCCCCGCAGACCTTGTATTATTTTCTTACTTTCAAGTCTTTGAACACCATCTGCTCTTTCAGTCTGGCACCTGCTCCTGGTCCACCTCCTCCCGCCCCACTGCTCTGCCTGGAAAGGATTACTCATCATTCAAGGCCACTAAAAACTGCCCTCCCCTTCCTTGGGGACACTTAGTCACTTCTTTACGCTTCCTTCACACTTGGTAAATGTTTCAGTTTGGGGTGTTTTGTTTGTTTCTTTGCTCTTTTTTAAAAGAAACATGCATACTATAGGGCTGTTAATGTTCTAACATGAATTTAACTGGGTTTCAGAACAACTTTCTGGGTGGTTATTGTCATCCTCATTATTCATGATGAATCCAAGGACCTTAAGATGTCAAGCTGCTGGGGAGCTCTGGTGGCCTAGTGGCAAGGAGCTGCAACTACAATCCCACAGGCACACGGTTCGAATCCACCAGATGCTCTGCGGGAAAAGGAGGAACAATCTCCTCCTGTACCAGTCAGATCTGATTTGACGGTACACTCACACAAAAATTAAAAAAAAAAGATGTCAAGCTGCTTATTCAAGATCACTTAGCTAAAAATAGCAGAGCACGGCTTGAAACCCAGGTGGTGTGAGAGCCAAGTGTGGGCCTATACTTTCTGGTTGAATGTTGGATGAGTATCATTGAGCACTTACTCATTAAGCCAAACAATATGAGAGTGACATTGTTTGACCTATAGAAGCAGCATATTTACATTGGTCAGTATGTAGACACTTGAGTAAAATGCCAGAACCAACTCACAGCTGACCCTCCAGAGGGTTTTCACAGGAAGTAAATCACAAAGGAGGAGACTTCCCATCTTTCTCTCATGAAGTAGCCAGTGCATTCAAACCAAAGAGCTTTGGGTTCGAACCAAGAACCTTTGGATTGGCAGCACAGCTCCAAAGGAGCTCCTTAATATTTGAACACTCAAATGCTAGATCCTTGAGATGTAGACAGTCTTTGCCTCTAAGAGAGCATAACAATGGATAAAAACAGAGAGCTGAGAGAGTATGACCTGATTAGGTGGCTTGGGAGGGCCCCCAGGAAGCCAGAGAGGAGACCTGAAATAGAAGGCTGAGCAGTAAATGGATGGTGGGAGTAAGAGTTAAAGGAAGAGACAGACATCCAGGCAGCGCTTCGCCGGAATGGTGCAGCTGAAGGCTGCAGG